CGTAGGTGTGAATACAAAAAATCGAGCATCAATCTAAGAAAGGAAAAGAAGGTAAACCGCGATTTTTTATGTTTTGATACAAAAGATAAAAGGGAAAAGAAAAAAAAAACAAATTCAAAATCTCGTGTGCAGAGCGGAAGCCAATTGAATTTACAACTAATGAGCAAATGACGGTTCACATACTTTGTTTGAATTCAACGATCCTCCATGGGAAAAAGGCGAGTCTTCTATGATGATTTCGAGCCCAATTAACACTTCATCAACATATTTTAATATGCATTTCTAAACCACGTCTTGGTACTGCAAATTGAACATATATATTAGATCCAACTGCAACCCCAGAAAAATGGAGCGATTCTCTATGCAACCAGTGACACCATGTGACAACTATTTAACGGACGGACGATGTACTATTTAAATTCATTACAATTAACGGATGGACATGTTTGAATCGATGTTTGGCCGGAACATAGCTTCAAGATTTGTTTCTCGATCTGCTGATTTCCTTCAACATCCAGCTCCCGAGTTCGGAGGATCGGTTGCTGGAAATCTCTTCAGCTTTTAAGGAAAAGGCAGAGCATAGATGTACTTGTTTGCACCGACTTCCATTTTATGTTGGTCGTATACGGTTTGATTACAATCATCTATGCATTTTATGTGTTAGTGTTTGCATTTTCAGGTATGCACACAAAAGGCGTAATTCCGCCGAAGACGCTTGACACTCATGGAATCTGTTCTTCCATACTTACAATCATGACCCAAAGGGAAACCAAAAATGAAATCTCAAAGAACTAGTCAAGAGAAACCAACTTACCCGCTTGTTTATCGAGTTTGAACTCCGCCAGTTTTTGTAACAAATCTTGTTTGAAATAATCAAGGAAGAAAAGCCAGTGCCAAAACTTGAATTTTTCTTCTGAGCTGAATCAAAACTTAAAAATTGAAAACAAAACGGCATCCCTCACCACCCTACAAGTAGGAGTTTCAGGAGAGCCATCCTTATATATAGGCCGTTCTTTGCTTGTCTGAAATAGGCAGCTCGTGAATCCCCATCAACATCCACGGTAATCTGCACGACATTCAGAGAAAATGGAAATTAAGAATACTGAAATTGATAAAAGGAGGTCTGCTAAAGGGTTTGAAATCATTTCATTATCACGTGATTACCTCGTCAAGTCTAGGCAGAGGGTGCATGACCACAGCGTGCGTCTGCATCACCTCTAACACACGACTATCCACAATGTATTTGCCTCGAGCTTCTTCATAGAGGTCAATTCTCTCTCCAAATCGTTCACGCTGAATGCGAGTTTGATACACAACATCACACTTAGAAGCAACTTCCATTAAGTCCGCACTTTCTTCCCACTGGATGTTCCTTGATGTCAAATAATCTTTTATATCATTCTGGAACAGGAAATATAAAAAAGATGAGACTCCAATATCTTAGATTCCTCATAGTCCCCCACACTTCCTGAATTACTAAGGTTTATATAAATCAAAAAAAGGAAAATACGCAAAATAATGCAAGAACGATTTTGGACTTTACCTTCATCTTTACCACGTCAGGAGAGACAAAGTAGATCTTCACATCGTTATACCTGGCGAGCAAGTATGCAAGTGAGCGCACTGTCCTTCCGTTAGCAAGATCTCCAACAAGTGCAACTTTAATGCCATCCAGTTTTCCTATCTCTCTTTCAATAGTATAGACATCTAAAAGAGCCTGTGGAAGCAAGAACAGAGCTTTTAACTCAACAGATTGTAGAACTTCTAACAGACAAACATAAAACTGACATTACAAAACCTCAGCATTTACGTTATAAAACCATAGTTCTGTACTTTTTATTTTTTAAATTCACAGTTTTCAGTTGGGAAGACTAAAAACAACGGCACAGAGTTCGCTAGTACGGGATAATGTACAAATGGAACAAACATCTGAGCAAGTCAATTATAAACGAATATCCCTCCCGAGGCTGGCCCACAAGAATCCATCTCAGGATTAGAACTTTGGTGTTTTAAGTTTTAACAATCCCTTATCTATCTTTTCGATAGTACGATTCCCTCTTCTGTAGTAAAAACTTGTCCGATACCTGAGTTGGGTGTTGTCCAGGACCATCTCCTGCGTTGATGACAGGAATGCCAGCAGTTGCAGCAGCTCTTTTGGCTGCACCGCTCTCAAAGTGCCGCATCACAATTATATCCGAGTAACCCTCAACAGTTCTTATAGTATCTGTAAGTCAATCAATCAATCAATCAATCAATCAATCCCCCATTACATCACGATTCACGACCAAATTGTAGCAAGTAAAAACCATCTCTAGTACGTGAACGGAAATGGAAGGAGATACGCAAACCTTCAAGGGTTTCTCCTTTAGCTGCCGAAGAGAACTCTCTTGCATTTTCAGTTGTCAAGACCTCGCCCCCTAACCGCCTCATTGCAGACTCAAAGGAAAGCCTAGTCCTCGTGGACGGCTCGTAGAAGAGAGTAGCCATAAGATAACCTTTCAGAATTTGGCTTCCTGGTGACTTCTTCTCAATCTTCTCCATCTCTCGTGCAACATCAAATATCGCTCCGAGAAGATCTCTGTCGAATTGCTGAGCCTCAATCACATCAGTAACTTGAAATTTCTTCCCCACCGAATAGGAGGAAGATGATTTGTCAACTTCCAATGCCCGGCACGAAACCGTCCCATTATTTTGTGACGATCTCTTGAGGTGCATTGGTTGTTTGTAGACAAAGTTGGAATAACTAGCGCATAACTTTGTGTTCTGAAACGACATGACCCCTTGGAACGAAGACGATGAAAATAGTGACGATGAAGCAGCCATCTCAATATCTACAAAATTTCAAGCCTCTGTAACAAGAAGAAACTGGAAAATTAACTTCCAATCATAAAGTATTCATTTTTTCTTCAGTGTTACTTAGCACTCAATGATACGAAAAATAAATGTACTTTTGAAGATCAAATCTAACCCCTAACTCTGAATGCTACGTACCATTAAAGCCGGACCCTAAATTAATAGAAAAAACAAAGACCCAACAAACCCAAAATTTACAGCGCGAAGAAATTTAAATAGGAAAAAGCACAATCTAAATACTCAAGAAAATGTTCATCATATGGTTATTACAATGAACAACGGATGAGAGTTTGGTACCTTATCCGAGGAGGCCCGTTAAACTGAAGATGAAATGAGAGGGGACAGTGGGTGGATTCTGGGGAGGAGGTTGGTGGAGTTGGCGTCGACCTCTGATCTGAGATTGTGGTGGCGGCGGCGGCACTGCTGCAGAGCTAAATAATGAGAGAGGGAGAGAGGGAGAGAGGGAGTTGGAGGAAGAGTGGTGCGTTTTGGGCTTTCTTACTTTAATTGAAACGCTGGGCTTCGATTTCGGTCTCCTCGTCTTGTGCTTGTGGTATTTTTTCGTGCGCCCTTTTCTTGTGGAGAAATAAAAAACTACTAAAATCAAGACACAAAATCTTGTAATTTATGAAGCCACTCAATTTATCGTCTTTTCACAAAATTCTCTGGTATTTAAAATTTTCTTTAACATTTCTCATGTTTTACTTACATGATTTATAAGTAACTTAGACCATTCATTATATTGTTAATTAGTTTTATAGTAGAATACCAACTTATCCTAAAATTTTATTTTCTGCATCACACACACACAAAAATTCCCTACCGCCTTATTTTTCCTTGCATCTTCCTAATGTTCTCTGTAGTTAATGGAACATCATACCAATTTTATTGTAGATTCCTATCACATATGAATTTTCTCAAACCCTCTATATTGTAAACAGTATACACGAGTAATTCAAATAATCGTATTTTTACATAATATCAGACCACGTTGTACCTATACGAAGCCCAACAACCATATGTGCTTTATTCATGCATGTTGCAAATGGTACCATCGAATTGGAGTCCAACCTCCTCATTATTTGTCTTACTTCATGTAATCCTTATTGAAGAATTCAAATGAATGAAAGTCGTTAGGAGAAATTTTTTTAGTATGTCGATACACTATCTGCTATACTAAGTACAATAATATATTAGTTAAAAACTTCAAAAAAAATTTACAACTAATTGTAATATGACATCTTGAATACAAGATTATGTTTCTGACGTACTAAGAATATCTCAGTCGTTAGGACTTCAGCTTTTAAGTTTAATTGCAATTCCTATATTTATATTTTAGAGAAGCTAATTTTGTTGAAAATCAACTGACAGACGGACTTTCTTCGAATTGCGTTTGGCTTATTTCTCTTCCTCTGGTGTAAGGAATGCCTTGCACTTTGATAACCTTTGTGATGGTTGCCCTAGGGCATGGTCTAAAATATCTATAATATCCCGATATTTCCATCGAAATTTCCGCATTTTTGGAGTACCGATATTTTTTTGGACTACCGATATTTCCGATATCATCGATATTTTAGACCTTGCTAAGTCACTCATGTATCTTACCATGCAATGTATAAAGTGTAAAATATTGTACTAATTCATTATATATAAATGATTATGATGTGTTTAAGCTTCTTTCATTAATTACTACATATTTTCTACACTCACAATGTTTGCCAGCTCGCTATATAATCAACTTAAATCAGTTATATCTATCATGCAATGCATTTCTTTCCAATTTTTTATGATAAACTAATAGATAATTGACTAAATAAACATCCTGCAAAGTTTCAATAAAAATTTCCAAGTTTTTCTTACAATTTCCGTGGTTTTTATTTAATTTTTATTGATATCGATAATATTCCGATATTTCCATTGAAATTTCCATGTTTTTGGACTACCGATATTTCCGATATCATCGATATTTTATACCTTGCCCTAGGGCAGTCTATTTTATTTATTTTAATCTTTAAGAAGGAAAGATAACCAAGTGAAGAGAACAGGTGTCCTGACCATGGTGCTACATCTGAGCAAATGGCAAGTTGGAGCAGCACGCTAACTCATGCAGGAAGTTCCAAAAACCCTTCCATTCGTCACTACAAGAGCTTGCCATCAACACGTGACGTGCCCTCCTTGCATGTAATGATATTGTGAGTTGAAGTTGATCATCTCTGCCACTACCACTGCCCACTTTTTTATTTATTTCAAACTCATCAACTCCTCTCTCTCGATTTTATCTATTCCCATCTGAATTTGATCGACCACATTTCGGACCATCATCAGTTACCCAAAAACAAAAAAAGCAAAGCTGTTGTGTGTTTAATTAGGGTTAGTTAACGCTTTTTGCGAACCGAACCGATGGATTTGTTTAACTCGGTGTTGAATTGGGTGGTGCCACCGGCAAGTTTAGTGATGCTGGCGTTTGCTTGGCCAGCGTTGACCTTCGTCACTGGTTGTGAGTGGCTTTACAATTTGTTCAACAGTGAAATTGTCGAAGATAAGGTTGTTATAATTACAGGAGCTTCTTCTGGCATAGGAGAGGTAATTATAAGTCCCCTATTTCCAAATATAATTTTATCCATTAATTTTGAAGTTCATCTTGTTTCAAGCAAGGTTTTAAATATCGGCAGTGATATTTAAAATTGATACCGTTACATGAAAATGATGGAAAATTGCCCAAAACATAAATTTGTTTACTACTTTAGAAATGTCTAATTACTTAACAATGCATGTATATTACATATTAATTTTCTAAAACACAATTCAGATTGTGTAAGTATATGATAGGTAAGAGGATACAATACAGGAACATAATCACCGATACGTTGATAGTTTGATAAAAGTGGTTATATATGTATGTGTGTGTGTGTGTGTGTGTGTGATGTAGCATGAGGGTTGTGATTGCAGCAAATTGCATATGAATATGCGAAGAGAAGAGCAAATCTTGTACTAGTGGCACGAAGACAGAACAGACTGCGAGTGATCAGTGAGAATGCAAGGCGTATGGGTGCAAAGCATGTCATGAATATAGCCGCCGACGTTGTCAAGGAAGAGGAATGTAGGCGTTTCATCAGTGAAACGATAAGCTTCTATGGCCGAGGTATGCGCCAGAGACAAATTTGATTATTTAGAAAGCCATAGTTTTAAAAACAAAAGTTGTACACTTGAAAGGTCATAATTAAGCATGACAGAGACGGACTAGTGGACTGCAGATTTATTCAATTAAGTAGAGTATTTATGCACATTTGAACATTTTTCACAGTAACCTACAACTATGAAAGCTACAGACACATGCCGAGGAGTTAAGATCGAATTTTAGCTAGTATAGAATCAGATGTGAAGCCTTATAGGATATACCAGTACTCCAACCCTAATTTGGTCGTGGACTTGTAATTTCTTAGATATATTTGTTTGTCTAGAGAGTGCAACTGTTTGACATCTGAATTTCCATTTTGGCTAAGAAGTCTATTGATAAACCTCATGGGTTAATTAAGCACATATATATGAAGGAGTTGTATTAATTAGTAGCAGTTGCTGGAATATGCTTGTTTTAAGTTGATTTCCTACTAAACCAAAAAAGAGAAAAATGTTATAGTTGCACTCCGCATGATTTTGCAAGTAGGAATGCAAGTGAATGAATCCCATCCCCTAGCGAGTGAAGTGCTTACACCCCCTTTCTCTAAAGGGGCGTGCTAGCGCTTTAATAATATAATGGAAAGGTTAGGGAGAAGAGCTTGCTGTCGCGAGCCTTCACTGTCCCGTTCTGTAACTTCCCTTCTTTTGTTTAATACTAACTTAGTAGCAATTTCTTACATAGTCTCTCCATGAGAAGAATTTTGTGCCTTCACTGCCGCCATGATGTTAATTCTGAAACTAAAGTAGTTATTTTGATTTGTCTCTAATTTTGCAGTGGATCACCTTGTAAATACAGTAAGTCTAGGACATACATTCTACTTCGAGGAAGTTACAGACACGTCTGTCTTTCCCCAATTGTTGGTAAGGATTGCAAAGTTGCATGAGCAGAAGTCCAAAAGTTTGCACTACATTTTTAATACAAACTGCTATTTCTTATGAGGCAAATTCGCTATCAATGAGGTATTGCGGTTCTGAATATCTTTGTTCTCAGGATATAAATTTCTGGGGGAATGTTTATCCAACATATGTTGCTCTTCCTTACCTACGTCAAACTAATGGAAGGATCATTGTCAATGCATCAGTTGAGAGCTGGTTACCTCTGCCGAGAATGAGTTTATATGCTGTGAGTATATATTATTTAATCCTTTCATATTATTATGGGAATATTGATCAAGTATATTCAACATTTTAGAAGGAGAAATAAACATGGAACTAGAATCGTATACCTCATCATCAAATTAGAATTACCCAGTGGTTAGGATGCATTCCATGACCTGTCAAACTTTCTTGTAAAACTTATTTAGGACCAGCTTTTGTAGTCGAAGTTAACTATATCAAAGAGCTAGCACGCATCAATTTATTACTATCCTTTTGTTGTGTTTGAATTACTAGGCGGCAAAGGCAGCTCTGGTTAACTTTTATGAGACCTTGAGATTAGAAGTAAACCATGAGGTAGGGATAACAATTGCAACTCACGGGTGGATTGGAAGTGAAATGACAGGAGGCAAGTTCATGCTAGAGGAGGGGGCTGAAATGCAGTGGAAAGAAGAAAGGGAGGTAAGAGCTACTGATTGATCGATGGTATTGCTTTTCATTAAGTTGGCCCAATGAAGCATTGCACTAATGCTGGTTGGAATGATTTTTCGTACCCGGAGCAGACAAATTAAGTGCTTAATTTTTTTATTAAGAAACAGTACTTCAAATGTGATATATATATATGTATATATATATATTCCAATCAGTGGGACATTTATATTGTCGTAGGTACATGTGACCGGTGGGTCTGTGGAGGATTTTGCAAGGTTGATTGTAGCTGGGGCTTGTCGAGGAGATTCATACGTTAAGTATCCAAGTTGGTATGACATATTCCTGCTGTACAGGGTGTTTGCGCCTAAGGTCCTGAATTGGACATTCCGCCTCATTCTTCCAACGCAAGGTGGAAGGAGGACTTCCCTTGTGGGCACCGGAAGGCCTATTTCTGAAGGCTATGGGAGGCCTATTTCTGAAGGCTATGGGAGGCCTATTTCAGAAGGCTATGGAAGGCCTTTGTTGGAAGGCACTCCTCCAAGGAGACTTATTGGTCCCAACACAGTTTCCCAACAGAGTCCCCCGCGTCAGATAAAAATGGAATGAAATATTTAGCATTTCTGTGGAAGTAGCTATTTTAGTAACATGTTCTAAGAAGTTATGGTTGTTGAACTTGTGTTTTTTATCTCCGTCACGGAGATTTTGAACTGTTAAACAAAGTTATTGCATTCAATATGTGTTGTTCATGTAATAAGCTCCCTTCAGTATTAATAAATTTCGTAGCAGACCCCCTGTGAACATGTGACCTAAAGACATTCTGGACAATTTTCGTTACTTTTTCACGTTGTGAAATTGATAGGTCATGTGGTGTTTGAAAAGAGTCATTGGTTGGAGATATTTTTCAATGTGACTGTCACACAAGACAGTACATCACGTGTTTCTATATAAATGGTGGAATATGTGTGTTAAAAGGTTAATAATTTAAAAATTAAAAAATTTCATCATTTACATAAAAACACGTGGTGTATCATCCGTGTTTCAGTTACAACTAAAAATTTCTCCATTGGTTGATCACTCGACAGTAATCGAACTGTACAGTTCCATTACCATACTGAGCGATCCACGGCATTTTGATTTTGTGTGGTAAAAGTAGTCGCATTAATTACCTTACTAAGGTAGAGCCCGGAAATTGAGTTTGATTCTAATGTTAATTGAACTAAGAACATTTTAACGACAAGAAGCAATAGATTCTTCTTTTTTCTCGTGTTTCTAAAGAGGAACACTTAATGATTCATTGAAAATTACGTCTTCAAACGTAACCAAAGAAAAAAAATTCCTATCTTTGTATTCTCTCTTTAGCAAAGATCAGTGATTGCTAATACTTAGGAATTCCACAAATATGAGTGCAGTATGTCATGGCTATCCAAACTAAGCAGAAGAAGTGGATAGCCTATTCAGTTTGAGAATAAAAGCAATACAGTATTCTCGATATCAATACTCTTGATCACATTATTTGGTTGATTGTTTATTCATGTTTACTACTTAATATGATTCTCTTGTGTATATGATTACTTTGAATGTGATTTGAAACGTACTTCCTAAATCTCATTCATATGCTATGGCTAGAGACTCTTAACACATCATAAACAATTCTCCCTAAACGGTTTGAAGGTTAGAGATCCATTGTTGTACACTTACATGTCTTCACAAATAAATCAACGACCCTAACAATACTAGGAACATGCCCAAGATGAGGCATGCTCTGTGTTACATCGTCAAATGATCAAAGACATACTCATAAGGCAACTGTGGTGTCTCAGGTTAAATGACTACTTTGTATATCCCAACTAGTGAGTTTACATATGACATAAGTATGCGAACTCATGGTTGATCGCGTTCAATGTACTTACCCTCTATTGAGCACTTACATACTTGCGTTGGTCTCTTTCACACCAATGGCTCGAGACCAGTCACTCGCCAGGGAGAAGACATAGTATATGCAGATCTAGCCGAATTGTCAATGACCAATTGGCAATTCTAAGGTCTCATGAATTTAACATCTTTATATCACATTCTCTTTATTACATAAGGAGCATGAGTCATATATTTTGCAGAATGTCGTTCTTGCCAAGGTTGTATTATTATTTTTTTAGCCTATTCAAGTCCAAACCATTATTACTCCTTAAGGCCTTGTTTGGTACCTCGAATTGTAATGACTATTTCAATCGGTTAGGATAAATAGTCATTGGATAGTACTGACTAAATTAGTCGGCCGTTTGGTGCAATACTGGATTAATGATTTTATTTATTTGAAATAAAAAAGTCTTAGGTTCGAATATGAATTAAGAGTTTGTAACCAATTTATTCTCCTCACTCCTTAGTGTAAATATAACAAGGAATTCAAAAAGTACAAAAGAAAAAGGTGTAAATATAACAAATTTATTCTCTCCACCCTTTGTGTAAACTTGTAACACTAAGGCCTCATTTGGTATTGATTTTTTCACAAAAAGCTGTTTCAATTTAAAGTTAAACAATAAAAATGTGCATGGTAAAAAAATATATATTCTACCTTTTTCTTGCGCAATGGCCTCTAGACGGCAACTTTTAAAAATCTAATAGTATTCATCTTCACTTGTAAGTGAAGATTTAACATTATGAATTAGCTTCGTTCATGACTCAATGGATAAGGGGAGTTGTTCCTCAAGGTACTTAGTTTTTTATTCACGAAATTTTGTATTAATGATCAAAACCGTTCAAATACTTTGTAAAGATCATATCCAAAAAAAATTAATTAAATATGAAATTATTTAGTCATTCAACTATATAAAAACAAACGAATAAAATTATTGTAAATTGTCTATTTATTTGCTACAACTAATTGATTAAATGATCTTATAGATTTTGTCCAACTTTATGCATGCACTACAAGTAAATCACACACATGCCAAAGGGCTAAGGCAAAAAACATTTAAAACGGATACTAAGTATTAGATTTTATCCAACGTTATGAATGCACTTCAGGTCAACAAATATTGTATGTTCTGAACTAATAATTCCAAGTACCAGACTTTAAATTATTAAAGTCAATCCATTCCCACTTGAATTGTGGAAACTGTAATTCCTATATAATTAAAGATGTGGTTATATTTTGGTCACCTGTTAAATTACTTCAGATAATTACTTGTAGGCCCACCTTTGCCTGTAGCCTGTTTGAAATGAAATGGAAAATGCATTGGAGAAGGAGAACTATTGGTTATTTTATTGTACAAAGACTTCCACAAGTATTTAATAGTCTATTTTCAATCTTGTCCACTTATTTCGTATAATTTATTACTACGTACTATTGAAGAATTTTCTCATTTGTGGTATTCTCTTTTTAAAATTTTGTTTTCAATCCCATGGCTTAAAACTCCCCCACCCAAATATACCGTGTCATAGTTTGTCAGTGATATTTTTCGGTTTTACCAAAGAAAGAATAGTGCAATGGCCTTCAGATTGTAGCTTTTAAAAGTTTAGTGCTATTCCTTTTCACTTGTAAGTGAATATTTAATATTATGAATTAACTTCATTGATTTGTTGGTGACATTTATCGGTTTTACCAAAGAAAGAATAATGCAGTGGCCTTCAGATTGTAGCTTTTAAAAGTTTAGTGATATTTTTTTTCACTTGTAAGTGATTATTTAATATTATGAATTAACTTCATTCATGACTCAATGAATGAGGGGAGTTCTTGTGACAGCCCTTCCCGAATTTGTATATTATTTTATCCTTGAAAGCGTGGAAATTTCTATTATGCCCTTTAATCGTTAAGTTGTGTGTGTGTGTATAGGCTAAGGTTTTGGACCACTTAGTTATTGTAACATCCCACATCGCCCAGGGGAGTGGATCATGTAAGCATTATATGTATATTATCATTTCTACCTAGCACGAGGCCTTTTGGGAGCTCACTGGCTTCGAGTTCCATCGGAACTCCGAAGTTAAGTGAGTTCGCGCGAGAGCAATCCTAAGATGGGTGATCCACTGGGAAGTTCTTATGTGAGTTCCCAGAAATAAAACCGTGAGGACATGGTTAGGGCCCAAAGCGGACGATATCGTGCTACGATTGAGTGACAATTTGGTATTAGAGCCAATCCCTGGTCGAGTGTGTCGACGAAGACGTTGGGCCCCTAAGGGGGATGGATTGTAACATCCCACATCGCCTAGGGGAGTGGATCATGTAAGCCTTATATGTATATTCCCATCTCTACCTTGCACGAGGCCTTTTGGGAGCTCACTGGCTTCGGGTTCCATCGGAACTCCGAAGTTAAGCGAGTTCGCGCGAGAGCAATCCTAGGATGGGTGACCCATTAAGAAGTTCTCATGTGAGTTCCCAAAAACAAAACCGTGAGGGCGTGGTTGGGGCCTAAAACGAACAATATCGTGCTACGGTGGAGTCGAGTCCGAGATGTGGTGGGGGCCTAGGTGGGGATGTGACAGTTCTTCTTCAAGATATTTTGTTTTTAATTCACGAAATTTCATATTAATGATTGAAACCATTCAAATACTTTGTAAAGATCATATCTAACAAAATTAATAAAATATGAAATCATTTAGTCATTCAACTATATAAAAACAAATGAGTAAAAGCATTATGAACTGTCTATTTATTTGCCACAATTGATTGACTATATTGACACGTGGTGCCAAATCACTGTTCATAGGGCTGGAAAAAAATCCCAAAAATCCCAAAAATCCCAAACCAAACCGAAAAAATCCCGATCCCAAACCAAAATTCCCGAAATTTTCGGGATATAATCCGAAACCAAACTGAAAGTTTCGGTATGGGATTCGGTTTTGCATTTCATTTTTTCGGTATTCCCAACCGAACCGAAAAAAAAATTATATATATATATTATTTTTTAATTATAAGAAAATTATTTGAACCGTTCATTATTTTAGATTTAATCTATGTCGTTGATTGTTTTAGGTCAGATCCCATTTCACAGTTCTGTTCCATTTCCATCCATCTAACTCCAAGCACAGCACAGCCCAGCCCCTGGGCGTCTCTCACCGAGCCCTCATCTCTCATCTGTCTATGTCGAATTCCGGCCAACCACCGGCCCACCACCACACCACACAACGTTCCTTCACCACACAGCCACCGCTCTCTCTCACAATCTCTCTCTCGGGCGATTTTCTCTCACGATCTCTCTCACCACCATACCGAGTCCGAGTCTCACTCTCACCCCAAATTAGGTAATTAATTAAGTGTTTTGAAATTTCTGTTGGTAGATTCTGCTTTGAAGTTTTCAAATGGTTTTAAGATTTAATTTTGGTTTTGTTATTCCGTAACCTGACTATTGTTGTTTTCTTGTTTGATTTTATTAGATGGTTATCTTAATTCTGGCTCTATATCCTTCGTTGGTGCTTTGATCTCTTTATTGCTCATATCTTCCTTCATGTTGCAGCTTTATTATTGCTCATATCTTATTTCATGTTTGAGGGTTCCTTTGCATATGGACCGGGATATTAGTTTTGCTACAAGGTCCTTTATTCTTTGTTGATCGCTATTGAAACGTACACACATAAAAAGGATGGGTGAACCGAGATCACTCAGTTTCAATTCTTTTTGGTTAACAGCGTAACATTTTAGACAAAAGTGAATAGAAATTTTTTCATGAAACGATTAGTTGAGGGAGCAGCATCCTTGAAATTGACGAATATATGAGAGTCCATTGAGTTACTGCCAGTGACCAAATGTAGATGTTATGCAAATGGATGGGAATGGCATTTACAGTAAAACGTTTAGATCCTCGTCCTCGTTTAAACATTAAGCTTAATGATAA